CCCACACTGAACCGCCGTTACTACTGCTCCATTCATAAAAAATATTTTGGCCGACGTAGTAATCCCCTGAGGAGGAAAAAAAGAAACGTGTCTTATGCGCTGCTGTTTACATGGGGTCACGTGACTTTAAAGGTCTAAGGATATTTATGTGATTGTGAGAGATTATTTAGGAATGTGTTATTGTCTGGGAGGGTTTTATCAGGAGATATTTTATTCATTGGAGTTTACTAGTGTTTGTCATTTGTATTTCATGTAAGTAATTTTGGACGATGAGAATTTTTCATATTCTGAAGAAACTGATGAAAGGAAAATGTTATCTTATTCTAAACCTCTCTCTTAAACACAACATTCAAATTTAATATCAATCTTAAAATATAACATCTTACAAATACATAAATCCAAGTTATAGAGACCAAAAGCAAACATATGGCAAAAAAATGTTAAAAGACTTTTCCACACGAATCTCTTCCTTGTAAAATTAAGCCCACCCACAGCCTTCATCTTAAACCCTCAGAAAATAGATAAAACCGAATAGAATAAATTGGTAGTAATGATAATTACTATAATTACTATTATTGTTATCAATACCTTGATGGCATATTATTTAATAAACTGATAAACCAACAAAAAGTAGACAGAACACAATAGAATGAAAATAATAATAAACAGCTCAAACCAACACGTAAAAAAAAAAATAAATAAAAAAAAATAAATAAAACAAATAATAATAATAAAGAAATAAATAAAACAATACAAAATCTCACTTGACAGAACACGCCTGCAGTCCTGACAATCGTGGTAATCCGGACACGCGGACGCCCACGCCTGAGCCACCTGCGCCAGCTCGTCATTCCAGACCAGCTGCTGCATGTCCGAGGCCGAGTATTGGGGTCCCGGAAGCCCCTCGTTCTCCTCGCCTCTCGCCACGATCGCCCTGTACTTGTTGTGGGAATCGAGGATGAACGCCCTCTCGCTCCTCGTCACGCCCTCGAGGTACACGGAGCAGGTGGGCGGGGTGGAGCGGCACATGGTGTGGTCGGAGGTGAGCTTCCGGTAGTCGGTGCAACTCCATCTGCAGTGAGGAGGAAGGGTTGTTATCTTGGGTGTTTAGAGACTGCATGTCAGTTGAATTTTATTTATTTATCATACATATTAATCTGAATATTTTCATACATCTGGTCGGTTATTTCATTATATGTCCTCTGACTATTTGTTATGTTAATTCAGTCACCTGCTTTTCACATATTTGATTAGTTATTATTCATTTGATTAATCATATATACTAATCAATGATTCCATTAACTATTTACCACATACTTGGTTAATTATTCTTTATTCACTCGACTCATCATATATATTCATCTCTTTGATAATCCTCTTTTTCATTAATATTTATCAGCTGACATTATTTATACAACCAATTCTTAGCATGAAATTGATTATATGATAATACTCATTTCATTACTTAGATTTACGTTCATTTGAGTATATCTGACGCAATTATTCCTTTACTAGCTAATCTATTTATTATAAACTTCTAACCGTATACCACAACATACTATTTGCTGACACATATTTATACATACGATCCCTTAAAAAAATCAAAAAACATTGGATTATTCCTTTAAACATTAATCCCTTATTTCCATAAATTTATACACACAGTCCCTGAGAAAAATACTCTTAGCCGAAGAACTTACGTCTGTTGGTAGGCGAGCGAGGGCGGGAGAGTGGTTGTGGTTGTTGTGGTAGTTGTGGTTGTAGGTGGCGGCGTGGTTATGCGGGTAAGGTTGTAGCTCCAGTAACGCCGGTAACCGTAATGGTTTTGTGCTCCTCCTTATATGGTAAAAAAAAAAAAAAAAAAAATAGCAGTAGTTATTAAACTGAAACTAATTGTGATCATTACGGTGATAATAATAGTACTAGTAATTTAAATGATGATAACTGTACTAATTTCAGTTATGATAATAATTTTGATTTCAGTGATAGCAATAGTACTAATTACAGTGAAAATAATAGTATTAATTACGGTGAAAATAATAGTATTAATTACAGTGAAAATAAGTGATAAATACAACGATAAGAATCGAGCGGTAACACGTACAAAAGTGATTTATAAATAGTTATTTACACACAATAATTATAATAGTAAATCGATAAATAGAGTTGTTTTCTGCCTTATATGTATAAAATAAATATCCTCAGTATGCTCCTTACAAAATTACGATAATGATGATAAATCGATATATAGACAGAATTATTTTCAACCTTCTATAAATAACATAATCCTCAGTAAGCTCCACTGTTATGTTCTCCATTCTACGAAGAACAAGACGTACCCAAGTATCTAGACTCCCAAGAACAGATGGTTCTCGCAGAGTCGTTCCTGAAGGTGTTGAGGACGACGTCGACATAAGCTGCGTGCGAGGAGGTCAGTGCAACACTCGGTCCTTCTCGACCGCAATACCTGAAGGAGGAGGTATCACAAGTATTATGTCAAGGCCTTTTGAATAATACTTTTTTTTGACATGCATTATTATTATTATTGTTATTATTATTTTGTTATTATTATTACTGTTATTATTATTATCATTATTATCATTATTATTATTGTTATTATTATTATTATTATTTTGATTATTTCGTATTGCAATAAACCAGTGGAAACATTTACCCACAAAATTTGATACTGACTAAAACTTTTCACGGTTTATTCTGAATCATTCATGGGATTCTCGATAACTGAGCCGAAAAGTGTTTCAAATGATTCACGTGATTTAAAGCTATTTGGAATCATATGTAAAAAAAGAGTCACTCAAAACTTCTTCTTTAAAATGACGTCAAACACCATTATGCAAATGAATCTCAAAAAATTCTTTCACGTGCTACGGGCTCTGAGCAGACCTCGTCCAGTCGCCTTCGTTGATCCGTATAGCAAGGTGGTCCCGCATGCAGTTCCGAGATTTGCGGATGCGGAAGTGCGTGCATTGCAGTTTCCAGTGACTTCCGGGTGGGGTCTGTCAGGCAAAAAAAAAAAAAAAACATAACCTTTAATAATGTTTATGGATGCGTAAAGTTATGATTAGGTATATATAAAGAACATTTGATAATGTATATGAACGTATTAAGAGGCGATGATAAAGTATAGGAATGTATATGAAGGTTTGCGATTGCATATGAATGCATTAAGATGCCAATTATGTATATGAATTTAAAAAGAATTCTTAATAATGTATTTGGACGTAACGAACAGCCTGGATAGTGTATGTGGATATATTCAGCTCTGATAGTGTATATAGATGTATAAAAAAGCCTTAGTAATGTATGTCAATGTAATGAGATGCTTTAATTACGTTTCTATACACATCTACATAGTTTCATAAACATGGATGAAATAATGTTCCTTTTTTGTTTTCAAATCGATACATAGGAAATAAACAAAATTATCACTGATGAAAGTAATACTAAGGATAGTATAATGATGGAAAATAACATGGGCTTTCCCTCAATACGTACTTTGAATCTCCAGAAGCAGGAATTTTTGCCACCAGTCTTCTGTGGGTATCCCGGGCTGGTGAAGCGCCCGCGGTCATCTGTGATTTCGCCTCCACAGTGGCTTTTGAAGGAGCGCACCTGAAGGAAGAAGAGATTGCGTCGTAAACTGACATTTTGTTGAAATTAATGTTGTTAGAGTATTACTGTTATATATATTGTTGCAAAGGAAAATGGGTGCAATTTTACATACATCTGCAGCGTCGATTTAAAGGCACACATACATTCAGACACTAAACAACTTTTATCTATCTATAACGATGTCTTCAGCGATCCATATGTCTACCTATCTATCCATCTATGTATATATATATATATATATATATATATATATATATATATATATATATATATATATATATATATATATATATATATATATATATATATATATATATATATATATATATATATATATATATATACCTATATACCTATATTTATATCTATCTATCTATCGATATCTATCTATATCTTTCTATGTCGTTATATAACAATATATCTATTTATATCTATCTATTACAATCTATCTATCTATATATATCTATAACAGTATATCTATCTATATGTATCTATAATAATATATCTATCTATATGTATCTAACAATATATCTATCTATCTATCAGTCTCAACAAGCACTTCTCCTGACCTTCAGCACGAAGAGCTCTCGCCTCTCGTGCCCCGAGGAGGGCGTCGCCGGCGCCTCTTCAGCCTCGGGCTTCGCAGGCTTGGGGTCCAAGAAGCCGAAGGTCTTGGAGGGATAGTAGACCTCCTTGGAGCTCTCGGGCACGTGCTTCGACGGCTTGCGAGGGATGATTTCGTTGTGTCCGCGCGACGGGGACGAACTGGTGGCCGGGTCGCGCTGGGGCTTGGCCGGGGAGGAGGTTCGAGCCGGCGGGTCGTGGCGCGAGATGGTGACCCGGTACTGCTTCCTCCGCGAAGGCCGCCCTCGACTCACCGTGTAGTACCTGGTGCGGTGGTAGCTGCGTCGGGAGCTTCCTCGATAGCTGCCGCTCGAGGGCGCCCAGGCCGACCTCGGAATTCTCTCCAAGGAGCCGTCTTCATCTTCCAGAGGGTCTTCCTTCGCCCTCTGTTTCTTCCCTTGCTTCTTGCGCTTCTTCTTATTCTTCTTATTCTTCCGTTTGTTGGCCTTCCTCGGGCTAGCCACCATCCCGGCCTCCTCGTCCACCTCCGCCTCGGTCGCATTCATCCCGTCGTGCAGGATGAAGTCGCTGCTGATCCACGTCGGTTCCCCCACGCTGAAGAGCCGGACCGACGGCGCTTCTGCAGAGGTCCCAGTGATCGCCCCGAAGGCATGGCTGTCCGCGTCGTACACAAAGTCGTCGCCGTCGATGACTATGGTGTCGTTCGTGGGGTCGTACGCGCCGCCGTCCCCAGTGCCGTTAGAGTGCCTGTAGAAACGCCTGCTGTTGGTATTCTGTTGGTA